GAGTGATTTCTTTAATCAGGGCATTAACAACCTAATTGTAAGATGAAAAAGCATCATCATAAGAATGGAAATTATTTCATTTAATAAATGTTTTGATATATAAGTTGTTCGGGTTTTATTCTCTAAAAAAAGCACCATTAATTTCTTGACGACCTAATATAAAATAAATATCGGTAGGATGCAAATATACAGTCTTATAGCCCACTTGTCATTTTAACAGCCTATTGGAATATTTACTTACAATGTTATTCTCAAAAATCTGAAAATCATTTTAGGTATCACTGGAAATTTGTTCTTGATGACATTTCTTGTTTTTCTTTTGTGTGATTGTTTTATCGTATATTATTGCAGATATCAATCCCACAAAATGAAAAATGATCAATTTCCAATAAACCTGTCGGGTTTTCTATCACCTTTTACCCTTACATCTTTAATTCCAAGACAAAATATTTAAAATAATAAAGAACAAAATCAACATCTATAGAAACCATATTATTTTCTCTATATAATGCATTGTATACTCCAATATGCAAGTAAGTTTTACTACTATAATGACAAAATATGAAGAAAATCATATAAGAGTTTTGTCTAAATGTCTTTTTATATATATAAGGTAAATTTATAATGACATAACAAAATAAAAGACATTCAAATGACAATAATTCGATTCAAACTCATTATTCCCGTATTACACATGTATGTATGTTACTACATGTAATATTTCACCACAATTAGGTAATACTGACTAATACAAAGAAATATAAACTCAAATCAAATTGTGTGTTATACTACAGTTCTTTTATAATTCAAAATTATAATCAAAAGGACATACATACAGAACCTTGAAAATAACACAACATTGTTTGTTTGTCTTGAATTTCGCGCAAAGCTACACGAGGGCTACCTGCGCTAGCCGTCTCTAATTTAGCAGAGAAAGACTGGAGGGAAGGCAGTTAGTCATCACTACCCACCGCCAACTCTTGAACTACTCTTTTATCAACGAATAGTGGGATTAACCGTCACATTATCACGCCCCCACGGCTGAAAGGACGAGCATGTTTGGTGGGACGGGAATTCGAACCCGCGACCCTCAGATTGCGAGTTAAGCGCCCTAAACACCTGACCATGCCGGGCCATAACCTAAAATAAACAATATTTAAACTGTCATTAGCCAAAACTAATACTTATAAGGCATTCTCCATTTCCTTTTTGGTGTCCACAGTTCATCATTTCAGAATTCACTTTGAAAACTTGCAAAAGCCGGGCAATTAAGCATCCACTTTCCATTTTGAACAGTGTTCGTTGGGATCAACGTGATAATTGCCCACCATTATGCGTCTGTTGTAGACATGAGTTAACGATAGGTGGGACAACCAAATCTCTCCACATTTACACATGGTAAACCAATAATTCGCGCATTAAGTCTAGCATTTGTGTGTCATTTTGTGTATATTTTTCTGTAGTCTTGTTTAATTCCACTGTAGACACCCACTAAATCTATGAAGTTAAATTCTCTCTTTTCCCATTCAAGATTATGAAAATATTTTGTGCACCAATTTATATGGAGATTATCCTCCTCACTTGTAACGACCTAAGGAAGGGAGCTCGAAAACTGTATGTGTCCATCCATCCAGTGAAGCATGCTTTCACTGCTAACTCTTTAATAACAAATATATCAGCTACCTGGAATCCTTCATTTTCCACGATCAGTTCCTTTAGGAGTCTGGAAGTTTTTAATACACACATACATAATTAGTTCAGCTCCTATTTCATGTATCTCAGTTCGTTCTACCCTACCACGTAGTAATACGTTACTAAAGCTCTGGATACCTTCTTTAATTCCTGATCATGTAATTCATTTGTTAGATTTAAATAATTCATAATAGTAGCTTGTTTGTCTATCAAATGAATAATCCCTTTAGAAATTTCTCTTTGATAATTAACCTTTTTTATTTAGCTCCCTTAAAATGTCTATAGTCGCCATTCTAAACAGATATTTCTGAATACTTCTGCCAGCATTAATTAAACCTCGTTTTGATCTATTTCTATCTGATAACGATACATTATCTTTTTGTATCATGATACTTCCTAAGACGACGTTGATAATTTGTTGCTACTTTAATTATAGCTACTCCCTGACTCGTAAATGTTATTTCATCCTCTTTATCTGTCTTACAATTTACGCTAGTCTTTTTGTTAAGTGATTGTTTGAACATGTCTAACTCATCTCCTAAGTGAATTAACAAACTGATGTAATGCAGGAATGGAATGTCTTCGACAATTATCTACTTACCACCAGACAAAATAAAGGTACCTTCTTCCACAAATACAAGTCCTACCTTATTTTCCACAGGCACGACACTTATATTCTGTCCCATCACATTTCCAAACATGAGCACCACAAGGATCTTTGTAAACCTAAAGATATGTCTACGACTCATTTGCGTAATTATAACATCTAGGATACAGAT